TGTGACATGGGAGACACTGGCACAGGATCACCCACATGGCGTGCCCTCATCAGAGAAGGGGCTGTGCTCTATGAGCAAAGCAGAATTGAAATAGCTCAGGAGAAACACAAGATGTGCAGATTTAGAGAATCCACCCCAAATGTTTACATGAACTACTTGTGCCCAACCTGTGGTAGAGCATTCTGAGCTCATATTGATCTGATCAGCCACAGTCAGACACACTGTAGCTTGACACTAACATAGTGATGTCACTTTGGTCCTCTTCGAGAACAAAAGACAACAACCATTTAACCATTTAAGAGGAGTAGGAGAGCTTGGACCCATGGAGGAGATTTTCAGGCAAATGTAGAAAAAAAAAAGGTCTATGAAAGAGAGCTTTGGGTGTGAGGGTATGGGAGGGGGTAGGGCCCTACCATGGAGCAGTGTCCTTTCTGACACCTTAAGTAATTGGCATTGTTCTGAGAGTGAGACACAAGGGAAAAGGAGAATTCATGGGGTATGCTCTATAAGGCAGTAGCAGAAAGTGCCTAGAGGACAAGGCCTAGAATGGACGCATTGGAAGCTTTGATTGTATGAAGAATCCAGAGAAAATAGAGAGACCAGATGATTATAGAGGTCAGGAATTAGAGAATGAGGGTCTAGAGAAAACAGAAATAAAAGACTGATAATGAAGAGAGTGAAAGAAATCCTTCTCGGAAAGGGACTCAAAAATGAAATAAAAAAACAAAACCTAATGAACACTAGCTGAAGGGGAGGAGAAGAATGGGGAATCTACTTGACTGAGAGGGAGAGGGAAGAAATATATAGCCAGATTAAAGCAGGAAAGAAAAATAAACTAATAAACAAAACCCTAAGGGAAAGGGGTAATAAATGAGAAGATGGGATCAGGGGTGTTTGGAAGAAAGTCAGTGGGAACAGGGCCCCCTCAGAAAAATATTAAAGTAACTAAAAGAACACAATACTATGTTTATAGCAGAAGAAGGGGAAAAATCATACCTTGGGGGGAAAAATTCTACAGACCGATGAAAGAAAATAGAAACTCTACTCTTGTAACTTTAAATGAGAATGGATTAAGCAAGCTAATAAAATGAAAAAGAGTGACAGATTGGATAAGAAAACAAAACCCTACAATCTGTGGCTTACATGTAACACATTTAAAAAACAAAAACATACACAAAATAAAACTGAGAGGATGAAAATTTTTTTTACTATGCCTCAAGTGAATCTAAAAAAGCAGTTGTCATCATGCTATCAGACAAATCAAAAATAAACATACAAAAACAAAAGAATAAACAAGAAAACTATATTATGCTGAAAGGAACCATAGATAATAAATAATTATCAGTAAATAACAATATCAGTAATATGCTCCAAATGCCATAGTACCAAAATTCATAAAGGAAACATTATCTGAGCTTCGAGAAGACACAGACAGCAACACACTACTGACAGGAGACATCAATATTCCTCTATCGGTTTTGGAGTCTAACAAAAAGATAAACAAAAGTGAAAATATGGAACTGAACAAATATCTGGAGAAACTAGAATTAAAAGACTTATGGCATATTCTAAATGAGATAGCAAAAAATATGCATATCCTTTTATAAAAAGTTCCATGTAGTTGACAAAATCCTATCAAATAGACTACGGTGATTTATCCAAGAAATTCGTTATGACCAAGTCCAACTTATACTGGAGATGCAAAGATGGTTCAATATTAGGAAAACAATCAAAACAATTAATCATTAAAAACCAAAACATCCAAAGATCAGTCAGCACTCCTTGGAAGATGTAACCACAGAAATAATCCTGTTCAAATTTGGCCTCTGTATGACTTCAGGCAAGTCACTTAAGTCAACTGTTTCCCTCTGTTTCCTCATCTGTCAAATGGGGACAATAACAGCACCTACCTCCTGGGGTGGTTGTAAAGCACAGTGGCTGACACATAGTAAGAACTATATAAATGTTAGCTATTATTAATGAAAAATAAACATACAAAATTTTAAAAGGGATAAACAAGGAAACTATATTATGCTGAAAGAAACTCAGGTCTCCCTGACACCAGATCCAGTGCTCTATCCATTGTACACCTCTCTAATTGGCCCATTATTAGTTTGACAGATGGGATTGGGCAGCTAGGTGACATAGTAGATAGAGTGCCAGGCCTGGAGTCAAGAAGACTGCTCTTCCTGAGTTCCAATCTGGCCCTGATACTTACTAGCTTTGTGACCCTGGGCAAGTCATTTAACCCTATTTGCCCCAATTCCTCAGCTATAAAATGAACTGGAGAAACAAATGGCAAACAGTCCAGTATCTTTGCCAAGAAAACCCCAAGTGGGTTTTCAGTAGATGCAGAATAAAACATAATTTTAAAAAAGATGATGATGACAGATGAATGACAAAGATGGATTGGGATCTGCAAAGTTGGAGGGAATCAGACCCATTCGAGTAGTTGAGTAGCTATTGGCTTAGGTATTTTATTTTAGTTTAAAAGAAGCACAGAGTTTTATTGATCAATTTGATATTTTTATTTTTTATTTTGTTAATCTTTTTTAATTTTCAGAATTCCTATTTTTGTTTTTAGTTGGGGGTTTTGATTTGTTGTTTTTCGAATTATTTTTAGTTATGTGGCCAATTCATTGGCCTATTCTTTCTCTCTGTGAAAGTATTTATGAGATATACATTTTCCTTCAGGACTGCTCTGGCTACATCCCAAAAGTTTTGGTATTTTGTTTAATTTTTGTCACTTCATTTGATGAAATTATCTATTGTTTCTTTGATTTGTTTTTTTTTCCCACCAGTTCTTTAGGATTAAATTATTTAACTTGAATCCTTTCTTCAAAGATCCTTTATTGATTGTAGTCAGAAGAAGATGTAAAGATGCTTTCCTGCATTTGTTTATAAGGTTTTTATGTGC